ATCAGACAGCCATCTGATTGTGAGCCCATTCTCCCAATGTCAGGACACTGAGACATGAAAACCTACATGGCTCCACCACAGCTATGTGTAGGCAGATATCGTCAGCGTGTGAAATGGTATTAATTACATTTCTGCCTCTTGTTAAAAAAAAAATAGAAATATATGAACATGAACACATGCATGTGGATCATGTGGTTTCTTTAAAAAAAAAAACAGAATGCATTTTCCTTCTGCCAGCCAACTTCTGGTTCCTCCTTTATAGTTATTTATAAGCCATCTGCTCGGGCAAGGAACGTGTCAGATGTGAATAAAACACAGAATCCTCTGCAGTCCCTCTTAGTTTTCAAATTATGTTCCATCTACTGCAAATCCTCCATGGATGATCCCAACATGGGAGACCCAGAGATGTGCTGCTCCATCATGTCCTAAAAGACCGGTTTGCTTTCATGTGTCTACCCTTATTTAAGACCCAAACATCTGGTTCATTAATGTTGTATATGGGCAGCTCATCTGATCTGTGTCTGTTCTCCTTGAGTGTCTGTTGCCTTTTCTAGTAAGTGGGTCATAACTATTAACAAAGAAACACAATTAGGAGACTCATCTTCCAATGTAACCCTACATCTTCAGACCGATTCATAAGATAACTACTCAAAAATGTACTAAAACTGACTTATCTTAAGAAGAGAAAATTGTTAAATAAAAAAAAAAAGACATTCTGTTAAAAATACATTCTCAGCGAAGGAAATAAATCCCAGAAAGGTTATTAATTGACCCAGATCAAGTGGTGGTGGTGGTGGTGGTGTGGGCAGATGGGTGATTGGGTTACTTAATCTTATCTTAATCGTGAGGACAGGGTGCATGGCATACAGTTCATTGGTCCATCACAGATGGCTGATAAGAGATAAACAAGCATTAACACTCGCATTCACACCTATGGTAAATTTAGAGACCTAACCTCATCCTCGCTCTTCTTTTTTGTTTTTTGTTTTTTTTTTTTCACCTGTAAGAGAAAACCCATTACACTTAGGAAGAAAACCGAAACTTCTCAGAGAAGATCAACCCAACAAAACGTTATCTCCTGTCAACACCACTTCTGCACCCCCACCTTTTATAAATAAGACTATATTTTTAACCCCCCAGCCCTCTGTCGACACGTTTACAGCAGAGCTTCAAAACTCTACCAGTCTTCATTTGAAACACTACAGTCTCACAAAGCTGATATTATTGATAAACAAAGGAAATTAAAGTAGAAATCAAGCTATTTCCCACTATGGAACAAACAAGGAAATTAAAGGTAATTAAATTCGAAATGTTTCAGCTTAGTGATTTGGCCCAGCTTTTATATTGGGTGGACTTCATGAAATAAATATTCCCATGTTTACCAAGTGTTGGATGCTGGTTATGGGTCGATTCAAACCCAGTGCCTACTTCATTAAAGGTGCTTTTTTTTCTTTTACTTTAGGCTTTTAAGGATTGACAGATTTGGACTTGTTAGAAATGGATTTCTTTGTAGGACTATTACCACTTTTTTTTTAAACTAATCAGCATTACTTATAATGAGCCAATCATAACTAACAAACCGTGATACTGAACTAAGATCTAATATTTGGTTTCAAGCACCAGATGGGAGAGCAGATGGAATTGGAACAGATCATAGGCTTGAGAGAGGAAACAAATAAACCAATTCAACAAAGACAAATCTGCAGAGTCATATCCTGCTCACAAAAGGTACACAGCGTTACCAACATGAGTGTTAAAAGGTTTGTTAAATGTACTGTATTTATTTTATTATTATTAAATGTGCTTTTTTGGAAATAGGATGCACCTAATCTGCAACTGTAAGCAACTGTGAATCCCTGAGTGTGTTTTTCTGTTATTGCGTAGCTATACTTATGAAAACATCTTTGGGGAAATAGTGTACAAAAAAAGAAGGCATTTTGAGGTTCAAGATTTAGATTGGAATTAGGATTAGAGTAGGTTAGATTACAGTTGGGGGATTAAAATTACAGATAAATGTTTGTAATAAAAAAAGGTTAGAATAAGCAATGAGGAATTTCACTCTGTGCATACGTGTGCATATAAAATACATACTTTATTGTGTGTTTGTGTACTATTTGATAATGTATAATGTATATGCCCAGACAGGCAGGTGACCTCACAGAGAAGGTTCATGGCTATAATAAATGCAGTGCTGCCTTAGAGCAGCACAATAACATGGTTTCAGAAAAGGGGACATTGGTCTCTTTGGAAAACAACTGGGATTTATCTGTGACAGGAACATCACTTTCACTCTGGGCGGAGTGGCTGACACTGTCATGTTAGCTTTCTCCTCACTATTCCCACCTCTTCAGACCGAGGCCACGGTGAGCGTTCCACATTCCACCGCGAGTCTCTCTATCCCATCGTTCCTCTTGTGCATTCGCAATTACACAAAGAAGAGTTTGCTCAGAGCTGCAAACTAATCAGACACACATGCAAATAAGCTTGGAATCTTGTTAAGGGATACAGACACAGAAATGAGACAAAGCTGCCTGCACCCACGTCTCTGAAGAACTTTAGCAGGCAGAACATAATGCTTAATTTGATTATGCTCCTACGCTATTTTCTGCTTTTTTTTTTATATAATTTTAGAGATTTGTTTTGACGGGAGATTAAATTAGTCAAGTAAATAGAATTAAATCTCAAGACAATGGACAATTGAGGCTAGGAACAATTTGAATTTGAATTTTTTAAGATATTGTGGGTCCTGTCAACAATATAAAAAACACAAATAGAACACATCACTCAGCCTTAATTACTTTCTCTAACCAAGTGGTTCTCAAAGCATGGACACAAAACTAGCTAGAGCAATGAAAAATCCAAGATCGCTTGAAGAAATTGGGATCATTTGTATTTTATTCCTAAACTGTATTGTAAATTCAAAGTAGATTTGTCATGAAAATGAACACTTGGTTTTAGCTAGCTATACAGTGCTAGATATATTGTGCAAGTCGTAGAGTATCGAAAGATAGATTTAACACTCCGTCCCAAATGCTGAGGTTTTGTCTTTTGTGTGTTTTGTCATCCTCTGACATCCTAATCTACAAGGAATTTTTTTTTCCTGTCTGTACAACTTATTCTTCGTGTCCATGCACACACTTGGAAATGATCCATACTACCAAGATATATAATTGGCCTTGAGTGGAATGTCTATTAGTGTAATTATGAAAAGTACAGGATCCCAGTTTCACTCAAAACTAACGTATGGTAATACAGTCCGAGCACAGCAGATGGAAAGGATGGAAAGATGCCATTAGTGTAAAAAACAAGTATAATTGGAATGGAATTGATGACACTCTGTCCTATGGTGTCACTCAGTCGACTGTAACAAAGACAAGACAGATTACACTGGAAGATGTGTGAACCCGGCTTTGACATGCGATGCGTGGGCAAAGGTAGCCTGTTAATGAATGGGGGAAATGAAGACAGCAGAAGAACGATGCGCAGCATGCTATTCGATAAAATATTGCTATTGTTAGGTAGTGCTGAAGGAAAATTGCTGCGATGCAGAAAGAGTGGGAAGTCTTGACAGCTTTCTGGTGGCAGTCTGACGGCTGAGCAGGGGGATTGGAAGGAAAGTGCAGCAGAGGGCTGCTGTCAGGCCACACCAGTGTGCCATTTAACAAGGTCCAGAGATGAGCGGCACTGTAACACATTGCAGAGAAACGAGAGAGAGAGCGGAGTAAGTGAGGGTGGAGAGGGCTGCATTTTTTTCCAAAGTCTTGCTACCTGTCATGTCTGGGACTCTGAAATCCTTCATAGGTGCATTAGAGCGGAGATTGAAGGTCCTCAATCAGGGCAGGAGCCGGGAAGGATTTAGAGATTTGTAGGTAAACCTGTAAGATATGCTGTACCACATCTCCTATAATACAGACACATATGAAAACATGTGTGAGATCTGATGAACAAACCTGCATCAGTGGTGTTTGCTAATTCAGGTCTGCTCTTTACGAAAAAACCTGTCAACATATGAAAATAATTTGAAAATAATATGAAAAAAAAAGGCTGCAGTTTGTCTCTAGACGTCACTCAACACGTCACTCCCAAACATAGTCCCTGTGTAGGACTAGGAGACTAAGTGCTGCAGCAATTTTTTTAAAAAAGAGTTGTCAATAAGGAAAAAGAAATTATGCTGCTTCTGGTTATGGTGTTTGCCATAGTTGTTATTTAGCATCAGCCGTGAAAGTACTGTAGCTGTCCAGTGCAGAAGCCCATTGAAACTAAATGTCAACAGGGTTGAATACAATTGTTTATACAGAATTACTGATTGGTGCTGAGAACATCATACCATGTGACCCTTTTTTAACTCCCCTTTAGTAATTAAATAATAATAAAACTGTCCACATTCGACAAAATATTTATAACCTCACTGAGAACATTTAGTTTCTCCATTCTGTCTTGGGCAATGGCAAAGGATTCACAAAATGTTCCAGTCTGAGTGGTTGGTACTGATGCTCGTCACTAAACTAACCCCAGCCATGGCAGATGAGAAGGAGAATAATTGTGTTAGTAAATGTAAAATACGGCTTATTTTAAACTTGGATGCCCTTAGAGCAAACTTGCAGAAGAATCCACTACCCCTCTGCTATAGTTCATCCTAATGCAGTACTTCACAAAAAATGCTTTGCTCTTGGCTGCACAGTGGAAACTCAAACTAAATGTCAACCTCCCAAAGCCTGCAACCTCATTAGTTATGTCACCGCTATTAGTTAAGGATAATTCAACTGTATCCTGTCACATTTTTTATTTTCTAGCTGCTAAGATATCGCTACAGCAAGGAGTGTTTTTTAATGTGATTTTTTTTTAATGATGTCTGCCCACATTCCATAACATTTGGTCGTGACTCAACACATCTGGCAGATTTTCACACATTTGTTTGTGTTTTTTATAGGACATGTGACATTTACTTTTCACATTTATTATTCCCTAATGGATTGCCCTTTCTCTTTATGTTTCTCCAGGAGGGCGACTCCTGTTTCTGGTTATGTGGCTGAACCTTGTGCCTCAAACTGACAGCTGCCCTGCAAAGTGTGTGTGCTTCAGTGAGCCCAGGCCCACGGTGGCCTGCCAACAACAAGGACTCTTTTCGGTTCCTACTGAGATCCCTGTGCGCAGCCAGAGAATATTCCTTCAAAGCAACAAGCTCACGGTGGTCAAGTCCACCAGCTTCAGCTCTTGTCGCAACCTAACAGTTCTTTGGCTATACTCCAACAACATCAGCTACATTGAGGCTGGGGCCTTCTATGGCTTGGAAAAGCTAGAGGAATTGGACATTGGAGACAATGGCAACCTCCGCACCATCAGCCCCACAGCCTTTAAGGGGTTGACCAAGCTGCACACTCTCCATCTGCACCGGTGTGGTCTATCAGAGCTGCCCGTTGGAGTTTTCAAAGGAATGTTCTCCCTACAGTACCTTTACCTGCAGGACAATAACATTCTATTGCTGCATGATGATACTTTTGTGGACCTTGCCAACCTCACTTATCTCTACCTGCACAACAACAAAATCAAGATTGTCACTGACAACATGTTTCGTGGATTAATCAATTTGGACCGTCTACTACTACATGAGAATCGTGTATTCTATGTCCAACCACGGGCTTTCAGTGATCTTGGAAAGCTGAAATCTCTGTTCCTTTTCTTCAACAACCTTACAGTCTTGTCAGGGGAGGTAATGGACCCACTGGCATCTCTCCAATACTTGCGTTTGAATGGAAACCAGTGGATCTGTGACTGCCGAGCGAAAACCTTGTGGGACTGGTTTAAACGCTTCAAAGGTTCCAGCTCTGAGCTCGAGTGTGAAGTCCCAGAGTTCCTGGCAGGTAAGGACTTGAAACGTCTAAAAAGTGATGACCTGGAGGGGTGTGTGGAAATGCCTCAAATCCAGACCAGCCTATTTAACGCTAAGACCCAGTCTGGCAAATTCCATTCTACCGAAAATCCAATGGGGGAAACTATTCCGAGATGTTGTCTTGGCGACAATGACAAGTCCTCTATTCTGTCAGGCAAGAGCCGCCAAATCACCAACAACCCCCTCAAGGAGAAGGAGAACATGTCAAAGACTAAATATAAAGATCCCGAAAGAACAAAAAATGAGACCCAGAACAAGCAGAACGACGGACCACTTGGAACCTTGTCCAACAATCTGGATGAGTCTTTGGAAAACCCAAACCCTGATCTGGAATCATCAACACCATCAAACAAAAAGAAGAAGAAGTGTTCCAAAAAGCCAAAATCGGACACCCAATGCAACAAAAGCCAGGCTACTGCTTTACAAGGTCCTTACATTCTCTTCATTCCAATGATCTGGATTTCTCTAGCCATGTCTTAGAACTGCTGATCTCGTACTTAACAAAGGACTCGCGATTGTTGATGCTAATGACAATGATGATGAAGATGCAGTGACATCTACATCGGGCAGAGACTAAGAAGCAAGGGATCTCAATGATCCGTTATGGGTGAGGACAAACAATCATGACAATGTTACAGTACATTTAACAAAATGGATGCCTTTACAGAACACAACAGATCCCATGTATATAATGAATTGGTGCCCACAATTGTTTGTTCTCTATGTACTTAATGGTACTGTGTCTAAGCTACATTTTGGAGACCCCTCCCTTTTCTCTCCCCCCAATGCTTTTACTGCTTTGACAGGATGCTGAGTGAATGAAAAAAAGACAAAACACAAAGACAAGAGTTTTAAAAAACAAAGCACAGACAAAGTGCCAACGAAGAATGTTGGGTCTGTTTGGAAAGGAGAAACGACCCCCCCTCCCCATCCTCTGCCCACTGTTATTTATTCAAAGTGATGCATTTGTTATGTTTTTTATGTTTGTAAAAACAAATGTTTTACTTCAGTTTGAGTTGTATTTTCATGACAGAGAGGGTAAATGGGTGGGACCAAAAGAATGCTAATGGTTTGTTCATTGAGATTTCGAAGGAACCATAGATATGCATTTTATTTTACTTGTGTACAAGTATGAACATAATATGAATAAAGTTCCTATTTTGTAGGTCATGTTGCTTTTGTGTAATACTTTCGCAGGGTATAGAAAAAATATATGGAATTTTAGTATAATAAAACTGAACTAACAAAGTAACCAAATGTGAACACTCTTACTTTATTTATTCTCCATGAAAAAAGTCATTTCCGATTGCCAAACCATAGGCAGATTAATAAGGAACCAAAAAACAAAATACCTTTCCTTGTATTTGTCAAAACATCCTGTTAATTTGCACCAGTGCAGTTTACAGGATGGTTTTAAATGGTTACAAAAATGTATTTTAATAAAGTACAGATTAAATGAAATGAAATAGAACAAAACTGTCCTTTTAACAGGACAGCTAAGTAAGACTGACTATTCCGAACAGATGGCTGACCCACTGTGGCACAGCCATTGTTTTTCGAGGCTGTTGGTGAAGTGATGGCCAACTGTTTTGGTCAAACTGCATTTGTTTTGTCTAACTTTGCAGACAGCCCTGCAAAGATTGGTGACATCGCTAGAAATATAGAGACAAAGAAAGAGATGGAAAATAGTTCACCTTCCTTATACTTAACGTTTGGAACTGTCGAAGAATTTGTGTTATTAAACTAGAAATATATATAGCTTTTGCGTTAGTAAGAACCCTTTGGAGGTTAATGTCTCTTTTCCTAATGCTATGCAAAATATCAAACAAAAAACAATAAATATGTGATAATATGTAGTTTAAAACAAGGTCAAATTCAACATCAACACCCACCCATGCCACATATTTTTGCAGCTTAAGGGACTTTTGCACATACATGATGCTCTGCCCTAGGCAGCATGACAACATTTAGCATATCATTAGACGTAGCTATTTATAATTATTTATACTATAAACACTATGAATACGCGTCATATTTCCCCATTATTTTGAATGCATTATTGATGTTATGTGAAAATATAGGAGGAATATTCAAAGGTTGCCTATTCACATCATAACATTAATATTGAAATGGAACTCTAGCAACATATCAAGCACAGCTTTGTCTCTTGATATGAAAGAAAATGCAGTACTGTAGGCTATGCTTGAATTCAAAAGGCTTAGCCCTGAAATATGTGACTTAATAATCAGAACAAGTGTCTTGTAAGTCCATGTTGTCGCCGTGAGTCCACAGGTCAAGATAATACAGGGATTTAAAATCTGCACTGCATTAAGCCAAGATCTTGTCAACAGCCCTCACTTTATCTCACACCAAGTTAAAGGATTACAATGGAAGGTCTCAAAAATCCTCTGAGCTTCTTATTGTTGTCCATTGAACCTGGAGAGCAGCAGGAACGACGGGACCTAAAGAGATATCGATCCTGGGTCGGAATCAACGGGGAAAATCAACAAGGCTCCTGCAACCAGTGACCCTCGATCCACTGCTAATACCTGAGCAGCTGCTGAATGAAACAATGCTGAAACCTGTCTCTGACTGATTCAATCTTCTCATGCACATCTGCAGAGGTAGGCACTACTGGCTAAATCCAACATCCAATGTGACAGTTATGATAGATGGAGACCTTGTGCTGTACACTTGTGGCTACTAAGAGCATTGTATCAATTAAATCCACATCAGTATTAGTGAATATCATATTTTGTTTACAGGCACTTGTCATTTTATTGTGATAAGCATTTTTTTTCTTCACATAAAAGTATCAATAAGTGGAATTTTGAAAGTTTATCATTATCAAGTTGAAAACTCAGCAATTGATAGTGAAATGAATAGTGGTAAAAAAAAAAAGTTACACATCACAGTCATCGCTTGAACATCAGTCTTAGATACTGTACTTCTGAACTCAGAAATGTTGGTCAAGGCAGAAGGGGGAACCTAAATTTTGATTTATATTTTAAACCAAAGCATATAATTTTATTATGCAGGCCCATTACCCACTTTAGGGTCTTACTAAGTAAATCTAATTCATTTTATCTTTCACAGACATTTTATGTGCCATCTTCATGACTCTAATATCTCTTCTATTGAAATATTCTGCCGTTTGATTTGATAGAAATCAATGTTTATACTGCTGGGAACATAAAAATCTAATCAAGTGCACTCCAGGTAATTACCATTCTGTTATGTGATAAAAGTACTTATCTTGGATTTTTACTTAAAAGGCACTTCTGATGAAAATATTATCAAATAATGGGTGAACATTTGCCTGATCATATTGAACACTTTAAAGGTGGCAAAGACAAGGACAGATTTAAGGTTCTGAAGAATAGTTGCATATTTCCCCTGCAGAATAACAAATGGAAATGAATACCAAAGGTACAAAGTTATGGGTACTTCAGATCTACAGAGACATAATATTGGCCGCGGTCAGGCTGGTGAATTTTAATAATAGGTTTTTATTCCACATAATTTGTAGACAGACCTTTAGTTATGTATAAAGATTAGGTGAAAGGAAACTTATCAGAGCATTTAGGTAAAATCTCCTGTAATAGGCCGAAAACCAAGAAAAGGCTACAGTGGGTGGGGTGAAAGAAGAAGAAAAAGTCTCTGCTGTAATTTTTCTAGGTCTATCCAAACATCAGAGCTGTGGGAGCAGAACCTGACAAACTAGAGTCAGACAAAGCTGTCTTGTGTAAGAGATAGCAAGCAATAAATAGTACTAGAGACCAGGAGCCTGTCCAGCTTCTCCTCAACTACAGGTGCGAGAAACTATCTTAGGCATTCAGTATCAGAGTGAAGAAAGAGGCACCGGGGCATCTTCTGTTTCACTGGGGCCTCAAGGCCACAGTGATGAAGTCTCTGACAGCAACTCACCTGACGATGCGCAGGTAAGAAACACAACTCTATCTGCTGGTATTTGTCTGTTTGTTCCAGCATTATAAGTATAGTACAGGTAAAAAAAAAATCTCAACATTATTTATCATTGTGCAATGTTGAAAAAAAGTTTGGATTAATCAGAATTAACTGTGATAAACTCACAGCGTCTTTAATCTCAGGTTGATCTAATTTAGATTAATATAATTAATCAAAAATGACTAGTGTAACACTTGCACTGTTGTTTCTAGAAGTTCAAACCAAGTCAGTCTCACTGTTGTGAATACTTTCACACCACATGCACACAAAAACACAACTCAATAAGGCTCTGGGGTCATTCTAATTTTCTTCCAGTCAACCGTGCAAGGAGACTAAAAACCCATCAGCCCAGGCCTCGATGCAAGGTCCTGGAGGAACTACTGTGAGGTCTGACAGCTGTCCCATAGTGTGCCCGCAGCTCCATTTAACAGTGCCCAGAAATATGATGTCCAGAGAGTGTAGTCGCCTGTCAGCCCACAAGGAGTTTGTTTTCAGCTGGCAATCACTTAGGTAAGGTGTAAAGCAGCAGTGACCGAGCATTTGAGGAGTATATAAAATCTCACTATGAGAATAGCTAATGATATTTCTAAGGAACATGGGAATAGGAAAAGAAATCAACACACTAGAAAAAAGTGGGAGTTGGATTTATTTTGTATGCAGAGGTGCTGGCAACTGTGTGCATCTTTCTATCAATATGCAAATACCAAAAATGGATTTGTCACTCTGCCTTGGTGGTGTCAGGGTTAGGTGTGAGTCAGAATAAAAAAAAAAAAACAAGAATGTTTTCTTTCATTATAACATAGCACAGTTAAAAAAAAAGACTTCATGATGGTTTTGTTCCAATTATAAAGATTATTTGCCAAGGTGGGGAAGGAATTATTAACAGTTGCTGCTGAAAGAGTGAGTCAAGGATACTGGCTGTAAAACTCCTAGGTACTACACCTACTCTTATAAACTCGACGTCAAATGAACATGAATTATCATCCTTCTCTTGAACTGCTTTGTCTCTCATTTCCTTCCTTATTTATTTCCCATTCTGTTATGTCCTTTTTATTTATTTTTATTTCTGCTCGGTGTCATCACTTCCTCGCAGTGCTCTTTGTTAGCAGTCAGTACGTTTTATTTTTTTCTTTATTTCTTTTTTATATTTTTTTATATCTGAATTCATGCACAACATTGAAAAGAATAAAATATCTGGCACTAAATGTATAAAACCCGATGTGGCCAATATTAGTTTCTATCAATTTATTACAAAGATAGTTGAATGGAAAGTTGTTCAAATTATTAGCAGTTTGGATTTAAGCTTTATTAAAGCTTTTACATTTAATTGCAAGTAACACCTGAATTGAATAACGAGATGAATATTTCACCCTGCTTTTTCCTCAGCACCACATGTTTATGTGAAAGATGCTAGAGTGAGAGACGTGCAGAGAGAAAAGGGAAGAAGGGAGGATATTCTTAGTGCTCAAGTCAAGAAATATATCGTTTGTTTTTTTTATTTATTTTTTATATATTTTATAGCAAGGTAAATAACCCCACTGTAAAGTTTTAGCATTGTTTATCCAGGTACATTCCCTTAAAAGAAACTCATCTTAAAAGCCACAAATCCCTGCCTGTTTCTTGGCGTCTCTGTAGAAAATGACCCACCTTCAACTCCTCCTGCAAATTCTGGCAGACATTCCATGTCTCCTCCAGAAAACACTAACCTTTGATCATTAGAAATGAGGCTTCTTTTTTTTTTTTTTTTTTTTTTTTCCTGAGTGAATGTGACTAAAATATTTGAGTTGATGTCTTGAGGCTCAGGCTTCTATGAAAAAGTTTAGCCTCTTCACTGCAGAGGATTCCCAAACTTAGACAGACTTTTAGCTTCCTCTTCTGCATACTAAATTCTCCATCACTACAACCCCTCCTTCAGTAGAAATCACCTCAGCTCCCTTTCCTTCTATCTCCACTTGTTTCACTCTCTCCCCTGCTGCTCCCTTTCACTCACATTTTCTTACTAACAGACTAAGGTTATAACTCACAATGAAGGAATCTCTAAATTAATCCTTTTTTTTAAAATGGAGACCCACACACAGTGAATTTTTTTTTTCAACTCCTAAATATTGTATGAAATGTACCTAAGGAGTCAAAGATGTGAAGAACATTCCGATGATTTAGAGGAAGCATAAATAAGTCAAATAATTCTGATTTGCGATCAGTTTCCCTTAAATTCTTAGGCATTAACGTGTTCACAGCTCTCTAACAACTTCTTCCTGCTTTTCGAGAACATAA